TCTCTCTCTCTCTCTCTCTCCCCCCTACTCTTCCCTCAGGCGTTGTCACTCTCTGAATCTCGTCCTTGCTCTCACTCTCTCCTTCTGCAGCTCTGGCGCTCGGCACCACTACTAAATTGCACACTTCCAGCCTCACCGGCTACCTGGTTCCACAAGACCCCAGCATTGCTTCACAAAAAGCTCAAATGGAAAAGTTGTTGACGCTTTGCTGTAGTCCCAAGGCTTCAGTTCTGATCTCGGACTTCCAGACCAGTACATTCACTTGCTGACTGCAGTCAGCCTTCGACACATCTGGAATGTTCACTGACTCTCTTGGGACGGAACAGCTGACTGGACTGCACTGACTAACTGACTGGCTTGACAGATGGACTGGGACTCCCTGTGCTACTCGACCTATGGCCTAGACTTTGCTATCCTACCAACTGGACTGGTACTATGGTACATTTGTGCCTAAGATGTTGGACAGGATGCTGGTACGCTTGAAATCCTTTCAACTAGCTCTCAATCATTCAGCACATTTTTCAGTTTCAACCTGCTCTTGCAGGGACGAAGTCATTGCATCATTTTTCTAATCGGAAGTCATCTGGACTCTTGAGGGTGAACCAGTGGATTTTGAAGTTGGTTGGTTCTCCAAACTCTTCTATGCATAACACGGTAGATTCTTAAGATTCTTAAGGTGGTCAGTGGATTCCAAAGTCTTGACTTAGTCGCAGGATCAAATTCTCAACAACGCCTGTATAGGAATAGGAGGTCGCTCGCCTTTTCTCATGCAGACGTCACTTGTGCAACTTGCTCTGCCTTGGAAACATGATAGTGGATGGCAAATATTCAGCTTGAAAGTGTTGCAACTTGCAAGTAGTCTATCCCGGGTTTCAGATCACGGGTGTGATTCACACAGGCAGTGCTTGTGCAACTGATTCTGGCCTTGGCTGATGTGTGTTGGGGCCTTGCGATGGAAGAACGGTATGTATTGGGCAGTGGTGGTTCTGGTGAGGCGGAGGTATTCACTGCTTTAGAAAGCTCTGGACTGCGGCCAGGAATTTTCAAAACCTTTTTCAAGTGTCATCAGGCACACCTATCCATCAGGAATGTGACAGTGGAATGATCTTGGTTGTTTATATGAAAACCCGGTTGCAGTTGTTGAAACTGTGCAGTTCTGTCTTACCTACCATGGGTGTGTTTAATGGTTGGGTTTCACCTTCAGTCTGTATCATGATCAATTGACTTCTGGGAGAGATGGCATCAAGGGCGGTGGTTTAACAGGTGTTAGCATGTTACATTTCTTCCCAGAGAACAATCCACGTTCTGACCTGGAATAGTGATGGGTAGTGTCATATCAGCTCTCGTGTTGCAGTTCACTTCTTTTCTTCCCAATGCAGTGGACTGTTTTCTTCGTTCGATACATCCAATTCTTTCGAGTCAGCATCTAATTTTCTTCTTCTCAAGCCAGCTTATGTGAACGAGAGTGAAAAATGGGAAAAAAAAGGGGTGGGTGGGGGGATGAAACTCTGTGCATGTGTGTGTGTGTGTGTGTGTGTGTGTGTGTGTGTGTGTGTGTGTGTGTGTGTGTGTGCGTGCGTGCGTGTGTGTGTTATTGTCATGATCGCTGTACACAACTCCTAAGAAAATAAAGCATGATTATGCCAGACTGTTTCGTCCGACTGTCACTGACTGGGCAGGAGTTTGAACCCTGGCAGACTGCCCCGGCATTCAACTGATAGATAAGGAATCACCACGTCGCCCAGAGCTAGTGATACCCCTGAGAAAAGTGGCCGACTTTACTCTTACCAACCCTGCAATTCTAGCAGACTGTCAGGCTGAAGCCCTGACAAGAATGGCAGGAAGTTTGAGAAGCTGGTCTTGTCTGTCACAGCCATAAAACCCACTCTACGTGCACTCAGCCATGAATATTGACTGGCATGCCAGCTAGTGCAGTGTGTGTGTGTGTGTGTGTGTGTGTGTGTGTGTGTGTGTGTGTGTGTGTTGATTTTCACCACAACAAGCTCTGTTGCCCCCAGATTAGTAGATCCAAAATCAAAGTAACATTACCTCTATTGCAGACAATGAAGCACACCTGAGATGAGCCAATCCAGCAATGAAACATATAGCAAAGAATAGATGCATTGTATGATTTGTATCGCTTTCTTAAATATCTTTATTTTTGTTTTCTTTGGGGTACCCCTTTTATTTGTTCTTGTAGCTCCCCTTTTACTATACCTCTCACGTACAAGGCTGGCCAGGTTGATTGTGGTTGAGAGCCAGCTCCCCACAACCCCATGTGCCTTAATGGCACACTTGCACGCTGTGAAAGGACGCAGAGTAAAGGGGGAGGTATACTCCTGTTCATTTTTCTTCAGGTCTTCAGCTTATATTTTGTCCGTTCTCTTAATGATGCTTATTCGTATATATTTCCTAGTAATACAATGGGAGGGAGGAATGAAGGAGGTGTTTTATAGGAGGCGCGGAGTGGGCGAGAAAGAAGGGGTAGAGGAGGTAAGTGGGGTGGCAAAGAACAGAACAGAGGACTAACGAACTTCACAGGGTTCTTAATACTCACTGCTGTAGCGGAATCTGTGTGTGTGTGGGTTTGGTGAGATGAGTCCACTGCACCTTGCGATGCAACGAGGCGCGTTTATATACGACACAACATAAATAATGCCAATAGCACAGGCATCACAGCATCGAACGAACCACACCCTGATCCAAGCGAATATTCCATTCGAGTGGGTATGCACGACCTCACTGGCTTCCCTAAAAAGACACAATGACTGGAGCCCTGGGGCACTAAGCCTTGAGCTGAAACAAACAATGTGCAGCAGCTAGGGGAAGGCAGAAAAAAAAAGCAGCGAGGGAAAAAGGCATGCGGCATCAACAAAGGGCGAAGGCTGGAGGGCCAGGGGGAGGCGGGTGGGCAGACGGACAGCATGCCGCAAAGCAAACAGCACAAGGCAGCAAAGCATATAGGCTGGAGGGCATGGGGGAGGCGGGKGGGCAGGCAAACAACAAAAAACAACAAAGCACACTGGGTAAAAGGCATGGGTTAGACGGATGGGCAAGTAAACAGCGTAAGGCAGCGAGGGAAACAACAGCAAGACAAACGACGACAATGCAAAAACAACACCCGAAAAAAATACAAGTAAAACAAAGCAAATACTGAAATAAATAAATAAACAGATGATGAAAGATTGCTTCGTCAGAGTTGCACTGACTCATCAGGAAGCTGAACCCTCGACAATCTGCGGAATCTCCGTATTTGATGGTTTGGGTCATGAACCCTTTGACCCTTGTTAAAGGCAGACTGTCCCCAAACGGAACATAGCAGCGGGCAGCAACCCTGTGGAGCACCAGGCAACACAGTAGAGGCAACACGGCTGCACAACGCCAAAAAACGACTGCAAAGAACGACATGCACACAGGACATGCAGCGCGGCAACCGTGTAGTGAAGCACAAGGCAACACAAACAAGGCAACCACACTGCAAAGGACGACAGGGCGAGCAGACCAGCAACTCGGCAACTGTGGAGCGAAGCAAAAGGCACCCGCAACAAGGCAACCAACCAACAAGGCCTTCAAGCAGCAAACACAGAAGGCACGGCCAGCAGAAGGGTAGCAAGGCAGCGGAGCAGAGGAGCAGCAGAGCAGCGAAGCGCAAAGCAACACCAACAACACGGCCACACCACACAGCGAACGCATCAACCTACGAAGAACCACATGCGAATCAAGCGGAACAGGCAGCAGGGCAGCGGCGGAGCGCAGACGAGGCCGTCCGCATATCCAACACGGAGCAAAGCAGCACATGACCTACTCGCATCACGATTGAACCCCGCAAACTGTTGGTTCCCACCACCCACTGAGCCAGGGAGTCACTCCGACGAGCATCGTCATCACCTAGAGGCAACACAGACATCCCGAACCAAGCGGCCCCCATAAGAGTGCAGTAGGCACTCCAAACGAGGAACCACCGACTGTTTGGCACTACTTAAGGGTGCTCAGTTGGGCACACAAAAAAAACTTCGAAAAAATCAGAGGGAGGACAGACAACAGAAGAAAGACTGACAGACATAAAACTGATTGTGTGTGTGTGTGTGTATGTGTGTGATGCACTGTCACCAGAACAACTGTTTTTCCACCCAGATGAGTAGATTCTAAATTCAAGCAGCCTTACATCGTAGCCCCCTCATCCAGTGACATGTGACATTTCAAATAATTGGAACGTTTTGATGAATCGATGGTTTCATTTTTATATTCTGAGAGGTGCAAGGTCAACCACATCTGTGTACATTGGCATGGAACACAGCTGTTGGCTTTCAGCATGTGTGTGTGTGTGTGTGTGTGTGTGTGTGTGTGTGTGTGTGTGTGTGGGTGGGGGTGCAAGGCTGCATGCGTGTGTCTGCGGTTTGCTTCTGTAAGTTTTGGATGCAATGGGGCATGTGATCTCTCTCAGCTTTCTTGTTGTAAGTTTGCCAACATGTCGTTGTGGCATGCTGGAATCTGTGATGCAGGAGTCTGGACGCGCAGGGCGAGACGGGCAATCGGCTACATGCATTTTATACTACAGTTATGGTGATTACGTAAGATTAATATCTTGTTCATTGTGAAATGGCTTGAAGGGAAGTTACGGTCTTTTGTTTGGACTGGTTTGGTCTTCTGTTACAAATATCATCTATCTAAAGTCTGTTTGCTTTTTTTGTGGTGTTGTATGTTTGCTGCGCCGTAGCTGTTAGGGGCAGGCCACACTGGTGCTGTGTTTCAGCTTGGAAAGCATGAACGGGTTTGTAACTTTGTAATAATGGCCAGTTTCGTACTTTGTAAGCACAAACATAGCATCCAGTGGGGTCTTTGCCATTTGGAAAGCTTTGAAATTTGAATTCCTTTAGGAAATTGAAAAAATATGGAAAACGATATGTCATGCAACATTCCAACACAAGCAACTTCTGGCTGAGTTCCACCTCCAAATTCATAGCCAAATTTGAGTTCAAAAGAGAAAACAACTTTTTTCTCTTTTGTGTCCAACTTTTTTCTCTTTTGTGGGAGGTGGCCTCCAGTACAGAGGACTTTTGGGGGGTCTCACTAAATTGCGCGCAAAGCGAGATAATTGGTGAATGCATCAAGCCTGAGTATGCTGTTAAGGAGTTAAGAATTTCCCAGTCACTGTCTCCAATGGAACCATAAGTACTCAGACTCAGATAAACATCTCGGACTGCAATAACTGCCTGGGACTACTTTAGAAGGTAAGAAAAAGACTAGGGACTGCAATTACCCCTGATTTTCGAATACAACCCTAACGCCGTGATAACCATCAGAGACATTCTATGAGGCGCTAGTGTGACTGTGCCCTCGGTGAGGGCGTCCGTCCGATGAACAACAAATGAAGGACAGAAAAAAAAAGGCATCCCTTATGTGATTGCGGTCCGATACAGGACACTATAGTACTAGTGTGAGTATGAGGTAAGTGAGGCAGTTAGTTGCCCGATGTGGAATAAGCCCTGCCTTGCTGGCAGGGAACTACAGCGACATGAAAAGAAGAAACAAACAACGAAAACAACAGCATTCACGTTCCACACATCGTTGCCAGATACATTCCTCAAAGCACTGGTGTGACTTCCTCCTCTGTGAGGCCTTCCCAGACGTCACTGGATTCACAGTTCTTTGCTTTTTTTCCCCTTGTTTTTTCTTCTTTTTTTCATTTTCCTTTTTCCGGCCTCCAACCCTGCCCCGAGCCCCCAACTTCTTCCGAATAGGTTACTTTTGTGACTTAGCGTCCCAGTATACAAGGTAGTGGTGGTTTAAAAGGGGGGGGGGGGGGAGAAGAAAACAGTGTACAAGGTAGTGGTGGTTTTACTTGGCCCAGCTATCAAGTCCAAGCCTCCAGTGACCGGTATGTCGAG